GTTCCCAGTGGCGCCAGTGTGCACTAGAGACGGGAGGATGAGAGCGGCAAGCGCAGATGCTGGTGGGCGGCAGCGGCGCACAGCGGGGTCTGGCTAACTCTGCGTCCTGAGGCCAATGGAGCCAGGAGGCTGTTGAAGACGCTGGTCTCCTCAGGACACCGATCAGATCTCTTCCAGAGGCTGGGGAGGACATGTCCCTTCCAGGAAGACACCAGCCCCACCCACAGCTCACTGACCAGGCCTCAAGGTCACAATAGAGTCGGGCACTGGCCAAACAGGGCCGGGGCCAAGGAGTCAGCGAGGCCGCTGCCAGGGAGCTGGGGAAGTTCAGCGTGATGTCTGTGACTTTTCTAGAAGTCTGAAGTTATTCTAGGATAGGAAGCTTTGATAAAACTAGACCTATCCCTGCCAACAGGCCTCCTTCCTGAGCCCCTAGTCCAGTGCTGTGCAGGTTGTGTCTCCTGAATGGGACTGGGGAGCTCCATTTGGCTCTGACCCCAGAGGAGGCTGTGGGGGCCTCCGGAGGGTTTGGGCAGTCTGCAGGGGCTGGGACTGGCGCCCTGGCCACCCTCCCTGCTTGGCTCTGGGGAAAATCACTTTGACGGTCCCTGCACCTCCAAATACTTTGACCCCTCAGAGCTCTTTCACAAAGCTTCCCTGTTCTCAGAGGTGGCTGAGCCCTGGGACCAGACCTAGAGGAGACTCCAAATGCTGGGTGCTCAGGAGCAGAAAAGGGTTTCAAGCAGGAGGCAGGGCTGTGGCTTAAGGCCAGGGGCCCCTGTACACATGGAGGCTGTTTCCTGCCAGGAACACACCGACATTGTCCGTGGCACTCTCCAGAGGGAGATTCACCTGGGGACTGTCCTTATACTCACAGCCTCCTCACCCACCCTGACGGTGTGCAGGGGCCCCAAATGTCTGGCCTCTGGTTGCCAGTGTGTCTTTAGCTCATCAAAGCTGGAGGATCACGGCTGGGAAGGGAGCTGCCTCCTCAGGTGAGGTGGGGGCCAGGCACAGCAGGTACACCTGGGCCACCACATGGGGACCTGGATAGCAGGGCTGCCAAGATCATGCAGAGACAGGCAACAGATGCCAGCCAGGCTAGGACCTCCTGAGGGGGACATGGAGTGACAGGACCCTCCCCAGCCTGGGAACTGGGGGGTCCACACTTCCACTGCCCTCAGGCAACAGTGAGCCTGCTGAGTCCCTAAGGGCTGTGTGGGGTGGGGAGGGGCTGCAGGGAGGGCCATGGAGGCCCCCACCTCCTGCCCTAGGCACCTGTTTTCCCACCCTCAGGAGCTGGGTGGGGCTTCTCACCCACAGTGAGGTGCTAGGGGCTCTGGGCTTTGACACCTGCTGGATGTCTGGCCAAGTGAGGGCCTCTGTGACCACACACTGCTGTGCCTTGGCTCTGCTCTGCACCGAGGCCTACCTGGGCCTCTCCTGGCCCCAGGGGAGGGGACCAGCCACAGGCAGTCCTTGCAGACCCAAATTCAGAGGGGGAGGCTTCTCTGCCGTCTAGAAGCCCTTGGTGGTCCCTGAACTCCTCATGGAAGGCAAGGCACAAGGCTGCAGGGAGGGATAGCCTTGGGTCCTCCTGCCCCGTGTGCCCCAGACCCATTTCCTGAGCATTGCAGGTCCTGTGCTGGGTCTCTCTGCTGAGGTCCCCAGGTCTCTGGGAGCCACAGAGTGTTCCCAACACCAGACCTTGCAAGCTTGGGTGAGGATCCTTCTGAGGGCTGGGACCAAAGGTCCAAGCACCCAGGGTCACACTCAGGGCCCCCTGCAGGTGTCAGGACTGAACAGCCCTTGTACAAGTTGTAGCTGCATGCCCAATTTCTCACAAGATGTACTGTGGTGGGCAGAGAAAGGGGTTCTTGGGTCTTGGCTGCTGCAGGAGTGCCCTGGATGCTGGACTTGGGAGCCCACACACATACCCACCTGCCCTGACCCTCCACTGGGTCATGGCTGGGGAGATTTTAGGTATGGTGTGGGCTTGAGGGGACTCTACCTTTGGGGTTGCCCTTGTGTTCCAGATCCCTGTAGGGTCTTCCCATCATCCCTCTGGACCCCCAGAATGGGTCCTGTGTCTTAGGCCAGAGTTCAGGCAGGAGCCAGTCCCCAAGGGGAGGGTCAGCAAGGCTTCCCAGGTGTGCACAGGGACAAGGTCCTGTCTGAGGAAGCTGGATGGTGCAGCACTCCACTACCTCCTCCACTATCAACCTGTGGAGAGCTGAGGGAGTGGCCAGCAGTGAGCAGGACCCAGGCAACTAGGCTCCTACTATGGCAGGTGGAGGCAGGACCAGGTTGGAGCATCCCCCACACCTTCTGCACCTTCTGGACTTGGGGAGCCCCCTTGGCATAGAGGCCACAGGTCCTGGCTCCCCTGCTCACACCCTGTCCTAGCCCATGCTGGTGCAGCTCAGCATTTAGCCCATGATTCCATGACACTGCAGGAAGAAGCAGGTGATTGCTCCCAAAGACACCCCTCCCACAGCAGGTGCCTGGGAGTGGTGAGGCAGGTGCTGCTGGCCACGTTCACACAGCCGTGTGCCCTGCCTGCCCTCCCAGAACCTGCTTCTACCGGCCCTCATCTGGCTTCTTCACTACATTTTATAAACTTCTCATTTGATCAACTCATTTGATTCATAGTATGTTGCAAAAAGGGTGTGCGGATGTGTGGGGGTGTCATATACACCTTCCTTCCCTGCTGGTGTCAGCACTGGGCAATATCACAGTCCAGCCTGCAGTGGGCCCAGCCCTGTGCACACATGAGGTCCCCATGGGGCTCCACCCAGCCCAGCCTGGTGTGCTCCTCTGGCCCAGCAGACACCCTACTTGGCACCACAGATTTGGAGTTTGTCTCACCAGTCTAGCCAGAAGCTCGATACTCACTTTTGTCTCCCTTGGGGCTTATTTTGCTATTTCTTCTCTATGATCATTCCAATCTCAAACACTGCTTCCACCTTCTCTCAACTTTTGACAAGTCTTCATTCTCTTTCAGCTGAAATCATTAATAATTTATCTCATCATTTTTCTTGGATTGGTGGGCTCATGGGTTCTTTGGAAGTGCACTGTGGCCTTCCTGCTGCTGACTCTCTTGGTGACCTTGCTCATGAGCAGGTGTGTGGGGGCAGGTGGCACTGCCAAGCTGTCAGCTTCTGGCTAGGGAGTGCCCACAACGTAGGGGAGAGGCTGCATTAGGAGTTGGTCAGCTCTCTGGACTGGACTGAACTCAGGATGATCCTTTCTGCTGTGCCCACCCTTTAATTCACAATGGACACACTTTCCACCCCCAAGTTACCAGCAAGTGCCTCTGTCTCCAGTGAGCTATTTAGGGATGAGTCTCATGGGGCACTGTCCTCCCCACCGGCCACTCTCCACCCACTCATGTCATTTAAGGTGCTTATCTGTAGACGGCACAGGCTGGCTCTGCTTGTCCTCCAGTCCAACCACCTCTGCATTGTGGCTGAAGTGCTCAGTTCACTTACAGAAGTCATGGTCTCCTGCAGTACTTTGTCTCCCTAATGCTTCTTCCTTCCTAGGACAAGGAGAGTGGAATGGTGCGGTCTGGACTCTCTGGTGGACAGGGCAACCCCAGGCCTTGGTGGTGCAGCATCCAGACAGGGGCCCTGGTCTGCCCTGCTCAACAGATGAGAGACAGGCACTCAGCTCACTCAGTCCATGCCGTTGGGGTCTTTCTACTACAACCCATCTAGGAGAGAGGGAACAGCTGGTCTGTCCTTCAGTCTATCTTGGCTTCACAGGGTGTGGGGTTACAGGCTTTGGAAATGTAGCCCTCTCTAACTCAGAAATACTGGACGAAAAGGCAGCATGGTGGCTGCTAACCTAGAACAGGACAAAGCCATAGACAGTAGCAGGAGAGCCATGCGCACACCTGCCCGCCCACCATTGTCTTCTCATCCATCTCACACATCCACCCACTGCCCAGCCGCCATGGGTCCATGTGCCCATCATCCCCCTACTTACCCATCTGCCCACACCACTTATCCACTCCCTTGCCCCCCACCTTGCTGTCTCTCCAGCTACAATGCTGTCCCCCCCAGTCTGTGCAGGACAAGAGTCTTAGCTCACTCATCTCCACATCCCCCGCTTCCCTTCCCAGCAGACCCCACCCTGGGCAGGCCAGGTCTGTCACGTCCCTACATGTAAACTCAGGGCTAGCACAGCACTGGACACACCACAGACATTCGCAAACGTGCCAAGTGACACAGGTGCAAGTGCCCACCATGCAGAGGCAGGACAGCAGCTCCCCCCAGTGAACAGGGCTGTCAAGAAGCCCACCCATTCAGGATACTCCTGAGAGCTCGGAAGGCTGGCAGGAAGCACCCCACACTCTCACAGTGCCCTGCTCCTTGTGTGACCCTGGAGGTGACCCATAAACTTGAATGATGGTGAATCTAATGACCCTTTTTAGGCTATTGTTTTCTTTAACCTGAGAGGGAACCAAAGTCAAAGTCACCCTGGGTCACTTACTGGGTGCCTCGCATGCAACTATTTCCTGTCCCCACATCCTATCACACAGCTGGAAGCCCCCACCCATCCCCTCATCCAGAGTCCAACTGGCCTGCAGTCCATCTGAGTCCATTTTACAGTTGTGCTGACTAGCTGCTCACAAAGGCTCCAGCTTCCTTCTCTGCACCCGTCACAGCTCTGTGGCAATCCTGCCCCATAGGCCATGGCTGTGGACCCTGGAAGGTGTCTTGAGCCCAGTGCCCCTAATTCAGACTGTGCTCCGAGGGCAGGATAAGGACACTGTGAACCTTGTCAACCAGGAGGAGGAGGTGATGCCTGGGATGTGAACTACACACACTGGGAAACCTGCCTGGCCGCCTGTGCACAGGAGTTGCGTGGGAAGATGGCGACACCTGGTGGAAAGCTGGGGAATGACGCCCAGGTCCAGGCCCACCTGGGAACTCAGACCTCAGGGGGCTGGAGAAGTGACTCAAAAGACAGTGATAAAGTTCTTCAAGGACACATGAAGCTTTATTGCTTTTATTGGGGTGATTCCTTAATTCCCTTGGATCAGAAGTCCCCCCCAGAGGAGCCCACAGAGGACAGTGGCATTGAACAACACACACACAGCACCGTGTCTTAGGAAACAGAAGAAACCCCGACATAGGCACCACTGTGGGTCATCACGAGGACGCTCACGACTGAAACCCCCAAGCGACACAGCGCATCCCAGAGGCACCGTCACAGCTCAGCAGGTGAAGGGCCCTTCCTGTCATAACGTCAACTTGTGCGTTTATAACCAAGCGTCACGAGGTCAGAGCCCCATCTTTGGGGACGTGTTTCGTATTGGTTTCTGTCAAGGTGGTGTGTGAGTGTGACTATGCTACAGAGACTTCAGGAACCTTGGCTGCACTGTGTTAACACTGGTGAGCTGCAGGCAGTTCACATCCAGAAATGCTGCTGTTTGTTCAACTTGTCTTTAGTGTGTGAGAAGTGGACAGCTCTTTGGTAAGAACTTGAAAACTTGTGAATTTCTCCAGAAAGGTGAAATGTGATTACAGAGAAAAAGAGGACTGGCAAAGGGCCGGGGGGGGGCGGGGTCACCCAGAGGCCTTCCCAGGGAGTGGACACTGACGTCCGAGGGACGGCAGCCAGCGCAGATGCTGCCTCCACAGCATCTAGACTTTATTATGCCGAAGCAGGATCTTCTATGTCAGGACATCAAAGAAAGAACTTGAATGCCAGGAAACTTCAGAAATTAAATTTCATTTCCATTTTCAGAACACCTTCCCAGCAATAGTGAAATAATTAGGGATCTTCCGCAATAGAAGCTCAGGCTGCTTCAAAATGAAAATTAAATTCTAAAAAACAATAGAAAAGAAAAGCAGGCCAGGCCCTCAACAGGGCAGCTGCCCCTGTTGCATCTGTCAGGCTCCTGGCTCGGGTGTCCTTCCCATGCTCCTCCTCCAGCAGCCTCCTGGGGGCGTGGCAGGTCCATGGCCAGCCTCAGGAGGCCAGCTTGCAGTAGCTGGGAGGGGATAGCTTGCGCTTCAGATACTTGAGGACATACAGTGGGAGGCAGCTGACCACAGTGATCGCCGACACTTTCCACAGGAAGGTCACAGTGGTGATAAAGGCAACATCTGTTGGTAAAAAACAGAGGAGATATGTACATGTCATCCCAGAATGCTTTGGGCCCTCATGACCACAGCCATGGACCTGACCGGCCCACAGCACTCCCCAGCCTGCAAGGAGCACCTCTGTGCCTCACATGACGACTCCACCGCCTCAGGCTGTCTTGACCGCAGGTTGTTTTGCTGTGTTGGCATAATTATTTTATTGGAATAAATGAAAAATGAAACAGAAGTATTAGAAAGAGATATTGATGATGATTACTATCACCAAATACCATTTAGTGGGTAGAACACGCTTTGCAACACCTGGCCTGTATTTATGTAAAGGTATATATTGGGGCCTCAGGCAGCAGAGGGTGCCTGGCAGCCCCCCTCAATCTCCGTGCCTGCACCCTGCACTCTCCCCGGCAAAGCTGTGTTGCTGACAACTGGGCCATTTAGACCCTTGTGAGAAGACGCGAGAGACCTGATGTCTGCGCGGTGTTAGTGTGATGCTATATGTAGCAGAAAGCCCTTTAGACTGTCGTCAAAGATGGGATAAAAAGATCTACTTATTAGGAGTTACATATTTTTATGAAATCATTGTAACTGATGCAGGGAAAACCACTGATTTCTGTATAGCGTATTGGGGCCCAATTGGGAACAGCCATAGTCTGTATTTACCCACATTGTGAAACCCCAAACATGCTTGCAGGTGCTTGTCCACTAGCCCCTAACGGTCAATGCCCACTCAGGAGCCCTGGGGACACACCTTGGCAGCGAGCTGGTGGCACCTCAGCCTGGGCTGCAGCTCTTCTGATGTCACAGAGAGTTCGTGACAGTCAGCTAGCCAAAGGAATTCTTTCTTTTCCTATTAAAGACTTTTATCAATATTGCTTTGCTAAATTTCCATACTTTTGAAAGAAATAACTTCACCTACCTAAGAAAGCTCCAAAAGATACTCTGCCTATACCTGTTCCAAAACAAAACAGGAATAAATAAAGGACAGATTAGAGCAGGCATCAGGATTTTTCAAGTGGTCAGCAAGTGGGTGCAGAAACCTATCATGAGCAACCCAGAGGACAGGCAGTGGGGTTGTAACTGTGGCTCTGACCCTTCCTTGCACTGCCTGCTAAAATAGAGCCTTTTAAACACAACTGAAACACAATAAATTACTGTGGACATTGGATCTGGACCTAAAAAAGCCTAATGGACTCATCTCAGAATGCAGCACACCGGGTGTGTCCTGCTTTGTGCACAGAGGGAGTGTGGGACGTGCTGCCCCGTCCTTCAGATAACTGCTGCTGGGCCTGCCCACATGTCTGCAGAGGCCAGGAGCCCCACCCAGGTCCATGAGACTTGTGTCTGCCAGTTTTATAATTCACTTTTATAAGGTCAATTTTATGTTTACTCACTATAGCACTGGACTAAATATTTAACATTTGTATTTGTTTTTCCAATTTCAGCATTTTGCTTTGTGTTTGGTATATGTTGTCAAATAAAGGAAAGCTGCTATTAAAATAAAATGCTATAAAATAAGCCAGCAGTTTTCCATGCCCAAGTGCACTGATTCATGATCATCTAGGAAAATATACTAAACGCTTATTCTCAAAACAAAAATAACTGGGATACTATAATTTGAAAATACGAACCATAGGTATTTTTTTATTTTTTTTTATAGCCATAGGTATTTTTTTGGAGACTGTTTCTTTTAATATGGAAATATGAACTTTTTCTTTCTCCCTACCCCACGTCCACTAGTGAGCAGTCTGGGAGAGTTTACGGTGTGGGTTGTGCTTACTCCCTGCAGGCCTCAGCCCCAGCTGCCCTCAGAGTGTGGCTCCTGTCAGATGTGTAAACCTCAGGTGCCTCCCAGCAGCTCAGAGGTACTGAGAGCTCCTCTACTCTGGTTCAGTGGGCAACTGACCAGGACCTGCTCCTTGTAGCTTGGGGAGTGGAGGACTCTACCAGTGAGATGCTGCAGCCTTTCCTTTTGTGAAATGTGGAAAGTCTCTTCTCAGAGACTGTTCCTAGGGCAGAGTGGGATGGTGACACTGCAGGGTGGGGTGGTGACGGCTGCAGGGTAGGGTGGTGATGGCTGCAGTGGATGGTGATGGCTGCGTTGGATAGTGACAGTACAGTGTGGGGTGGTGACAGCTGTAGTGGGTGGTGACAGTGCAGTGTGGGGTGGTGATGGCTGTAGTGGGTGGGGATGGTGCAGTGTAGGGTGGTGATGGTGCAGCTTTGGCTATGCTGTGGGAACTGTATCTGGGATGTTCTCTCTCTTCTCTCTGTCCTGATTTTAAAAACCTTAAGAGGGAAAGTCATCTGTGTCTATTGGCCACATCAGTCACCTTGGGGGTGACAGGGCTGTAACCCCTGATTAACAAGAATGCTTGGGGTGCTCTCAAACTCTAGCTGGAAAAAGCAGTGAGTCTGGGAGAGGAGCAGTGAGCTGGTCTGCAGACGGGAGCAGAGCAGGGACAAGCAAGCATCCGATGCTGGTGGGGTAACCAGAGGGTGTGACCAGGAGGCTGGTCCTGCCAGAGTCAGCCCTGTAGCTGTGTCCTCTCAGGCCATGGCAGTTCTGGGGTAGTTGACTCTTCTGCCTCATTCTGGGGTCTTGAATCTGGTGAAGCAGAGTCAAGACACACCAACAGTGGGTATCTGGGCTGCTTTGATTTTCCATCTCCCATCTGCATGTTGGTGACGGCAAGGAAAATGAGGATGGCAGCTCCCCCGTGCTGGGTGCTCAGCTCCTGCCCAGGACGTCACTCTCTGTGGGGACAGAGGCCTGGGGTGGCCACCTGAGGCAGACCAGGGGGCTGGGAGAACGTAGTGTGAGAAATGCCCCCACCCAGAGTCCATAGGCAGGGGATGGTCCTCAGGTGTGCACTGTGGCCATCTGCCCACGGACGAGGGACAGCAGGGACAGCTCCTCTGTGCCCAAGAGGAGCATGAGTGGCACAGTGTCCAGCTCAGAGGGCGCCGAGTCCACTCTGCTGTGCTCCTTCCTGGAGCAGTGGGTGGCCTCAGTTAGGAACCAGGGACAAAGAGCACTGCTCTTGCAGAGGAATCTTAGAAACACACACAACTTTAACATCTTCATAAAAGCCAAGACAGGGAAAATCTTCCCTTTATAAATTATTGCAAAGAGCTTTATCTTTCTACAAAAGTAAGTTTTTGTGCTGTGAAACATTCTGATATGGATTTATTGTGATCTGCAACTTAAAACAATGTATTAAGAAGTAACAATAAACAAATGCATAAAATTCACTAATAGATAATGATTCAAAAAAGAATTCCAAGGCAACTTACCAAAATATTCATTTAGAAAAACAAGCGAGGCCACGTAGCAGCCCAGGCTGAGGAACTCGGCCACCACCATCAGCCAGTGCCATGTCCTGACGGTCAGCGCCACCATGAGCAGCTCGGTCAGGATCAGAGCCGTGAAGGAGATGGCCACGACGTGGACAAACTCAGACTCGAAGAGCAGCAGGGCCCCATACATGAGAATGCCACCTGGAAGACAGCACGCTACTCTCCCAGACTCCCACTCTGCGACCCTGTCACCTGGAGGCCAGCTGCAGACAGTGGCCCTGGGGCAGCTACCTCATCAACAGTGCCAGCAATGTGGGGGACGTACACATGTGGGCTTCGTGTTGGGGAGCTGTTTGTTTCAACTCCAGGCATTAGGCTGGATGAGTCGGAAGAATCAAGGAGAGGCTACCAACTTCCTCACACTTGGAGGAAAAGCCTAGCTCTACTTCAATTACTGTAAACAGCCACGTGCTCCACGCAGCCCGCTGGTTCCGTCTGCTCATTGCACGCTGTGCAAACTCCCATTTATCTGGAGTGTGGGGTGAAGGGCCGTAACGACTTCTCCTTACAGAAATCACACTTCTCAAGTCTTGCTATCACTCCACAAAAGAAATCGTTGAGCTGGTGTGCACACAATGTGAGGAGTGCTTGTTAGCATTTTTCTCAATTAACATTTAATTAGTAGAATAGGTCAGTTTTAAAGTGACATGCATTGGTGAAAAAACCAACCCACATCATTGGAATATCAACTTTGAGATAAACAGAAAGCAATATTTCATTCCCAATGAAATCTTAAGCTGCTAAAATTGACCCTAGAGGTGGAAACAGTACTGCTGAAGGAGCCTGTACCTCCCCAACCACAGCCTGTCTTACCTTGGTAAATACTGATCAGGACCCAGATGAGGAAGGTCTTGAAGGACAAGGCTCTTCCCTGGGGTAAAGAGGGAGGGACAGCTTAGTTAGTGGACAGGAGCCACAGGCTTGACTTAGGTGTTCTTCTGGAGCTGGGCATGGTGACTCCTGAAAGCCCTCGGCCACAGGCCCCCAACCATGTGGTCTGCCGGGAGAACATCAGGTGCACGGCTGAGGCTAGCGGTTTCCTGTTCTCTCTGTTTGATCTTCCTGGAGACTCAGTAGTGACCTATCTAAACAGACATTTCCATGAACTAGGGGATAAAGACTTTTAGTAAAAATAATTTTGTTAATTTCCCTTTTTTCATTTCTTGGTAACAAATACTCCTATATTGACTTTTTAGTTTCCTCGGGTCAAAAAATACAAAGGTAACAGCTCTTTACCTTTGGTAAGGGTGACCTATCCCAATTACAGTAAAAATTTATCATCCCTTAAATCCTTTCTGGAAAAGATGTCACATAAATAAATCCCACACAGACAATCACATTAGACTCCTACGTAAAGACCTTCACCGGCTTCTCATCAGCCATATCCTGAGGGCGTTAGTGACCCCAGAAAGGGGACTGACTCAGTAATTACCTGCACTTACTCGCCAGGGCTACAGATGATGCAAGTGTCAATGGAAAACCCAAACTCTACCAGAATTCAAAGAAGTTTATTCTGAGCCCAGTGTGTGTATCTGTGGCCCAGGGAGCATAGTCTCAGGAGGTACTGAGAAAATGCCCCTAAGGCGGCCGGGTAACATTTTGGTTTTACCTGTTCATGGAAACAGGAATTATAGATAACAGCACAAAACAGTATGTAGAAGGTGGACACTGCTTCATCCCCCAAGGGTGGGAAATCTCAAAGTAGGGGCTTACAGGGGGTAGGTGGGTTTTAGGATTCTTCAGTTGGCAATTTTTAAGTTTTGTCTAAAGATGTGGGCCCGTAGGAAGGAATGCTCGAGTTTTAAGGCATCGAGTTAAAGCCAGGTTTCCTGTGATGCTATTCCCAAGTCAGACTGGCAAATCAGCCACATTATAGCAGGTTAATAAAACTCGTTTAGTGAGATTTTATCATTTGTAGGTGTGATTCACCAGGCCTCTTAGAAAGGAATTTGGGCAAAAGAAGAAAGCTCAGAGTTCAGTCCTCAGGTGCCAGAAAGCCTGTTAACAAACAGGGAACATCGGACAGGACAGGCCTCGCCTCCACACAGACCTTCAGAGCAGACCTTATTTCCATTTGTAGGTGATAAAACACAAGAAGTTCGGAAATTTCCTCAAGTTCACCCAGCAGGAAAGTGGTGCTAAGGAGAGCGACTGGTCAGCGACCAAAGTCCTGCTCCTGGCCTGAGGCTGCCCCACCCCAGGAGCGAGTCTTATGAGGACTGTGGACAGGCAGATCTCAGGGCCAGGGAACAATTTAAAGAGCCACAAAGAGAGAGGGACACTCATGGAAGCTCAGAGGACACTACAGGGTGTGAGGTTGGTACGCTGGAGTCAGCACCTAATCAGAGGTCCACATCTGCCTGGAGTCTGCTAAGGACTCAGACACCAGCCCCACTGCAGAGCGGGTGTGCTGAGGTCTGGCCCAGGGAGGTCACCAACTACACGTTCAGGGGTTTCTATTCCAGCTATAGTTTAATAAAGGACAATTACAGCGACCTATGCATTTTCTGTGGCTGCAGCATCTTTCTGTGAAGATGCTGACTGAGGCTGTATCCTTACTATCAGTCACTATGAAAAGATTCAAATATATTGTAATTTGTTAAAAGGTATATTGATTTTTAAAAAGAAAACTTTAAACATTTACATATTTTAAATAGGTTCTTTTAGTAGATATTTCCCACAGGTACTTCTCTGATTGGATACTAGTAGTGGGTGTTTGGTCTTTGGTCATAAATTCCTTTCTAATTAAGTACGTGGTTTCATTTGCAAACTTTAAAAGATGCTTAACTTCAAATATTTAAGAAACATGTGGTTTACTTTGTAGCCTGATTTGTTGAAATGCCTTCAATAATATTTGAGATAATTATCGTTGTATCTGTTGAAAGACAAATGGAGTCTTTTTTTTTTTTTTTTTTTTTGCAGTTTTTGGCCCAGGAGGAGTTTGAACCTGCCACCTCCAGTATATGGGGCCAGTATGTGGGGCCAGTGCCCTACTCCTTTGAGCCACAGGCACTGCCCTGACAAATGGGTCTTGAGCTATATTTCTGGCTGGGAGATGCAAGCTACCAAAGGCATCTGCAGCAGCCACATCCCTGCAGCCACGTAGGCTGCAGACTGACAATAGCAAACCAGAGTGGGTGCCCCAAATCAGCAATAACACAAATAATTTGAGAAATGAATAAGCTCCTTCATGCTTACTAATAGCTCCGGGTTTTTTTTTTTTTTTTTTTTTTGAGGCAAATTCTCATTCTATTTGATGGTACAAATACCCTACGCATGGAGTCAATTCATTTACTACGCATTTCCTGCTACAAATAAAGCTGCTCTTCTTGGCCTAGGGCTGGTGTTATCCACCACAGCTTCATGAAACCTGGCTAGTCGATTATAGTGGACATGCACTGTAAGCAACCTGGTGACACGGTGACGGTGCTGTGTAGCAGCCGACACTGGTCAGCAGAGACAGGCCAACCCTTGACCAGACAGCACTGGACCACACGCCATACAAACAACTCTGCCCACACTACAGGGGATGGACGTGGAAACTCTGTCATCCTCTGTGTTCACCAGGCCATGTACCAACCAACCACCATGCCTTCCAGGGTTGGAGCCACTTCTTGCCAAGAAAAGTATTCCATTCCCAGCAGTCTGTGGCCGAGGCCTTATGGTGTCATCACCACTCGCTCCAGGCTTCCTTACTGCTGGCACATGCAAGCCAAAGGTAAGACGCAAAGCTGGGTCTGCAGCAGCTTTGACGTGTACTTGGGTTAACATACTGCTTCTTGTCTGAGATACAATAAACTACATTTTTGATTCAAAATCGGATATTTCCTATGTAACGCTCCAACAACTTCTCTAAGAGACCTATAGACATTCACAGTTGGGAGGGGCAGGGGTGTGCTGGGGTCCTCCTCACTGCAGCATCCAGAAAGTAAGTGGCTGAACTCATCGTATATGAAGTTTACTAATTCAGAGCAGAATCTGAGCTTCAAAAGAGGAACACCAAAACACTGTCATTACAAATATGCCATTTTCTGCAATGAGTAAAAACTGAATGGTTTTGAAAAAAAGAATGAAATTTTACCTCTTGGTTTAATTGATGTGTTTGTTCCTCATTCATTTATCAAATATTTAGTCAACAGCTGTGTCTAAGCACAGTTTGGGTCACAGAGACAGGACAGTGAACAGACGTTCATATTCAGGACCAGCTAATCTCAGAACAGTACATCAGATTTGTAACACACGGATTATTTTATACTTTTATACAAAAGAAACTGGTTATCAAATACATAAAAAACAGGGTATTTTATTTCAGTGTTTAATACTTTCCTTTCTGCTGTGCAGGGGATGTGCACTCTGCCTCTCTTCATCACCCTAGAGGAATTTTACAAGTTCACTGTGACCTCAGACTTGTGGCAGACACACTGGGCAGTTGTGGTTCTGACTGCGGCATCTTCGTGCTGCTGTCCTGGGCTGCTTACTACCCACCACTTGCCACCCTGTGACTACTTCCTCCTCCAATGCGGACGCGGGCTGACGCAGAGCAAGGGCTGTCCCACCTCTCTGTGAGCCCAGGACCTGCCCCAGACTAGGGCTGAGGACCTGCTGACGGGCCTGATGCACACAGGCAGCTCCGGCGCATCCAGTTCCCGGCTGTGCGGGTGTGAGAGGCCCAAGCTGGGCACTGCAGCAGGACCACCCCTCAGCTTCAGTAAGAACAAACAACTGAGTTTCTATCAGCCTTGGTGGCTTAGTACTAGGTGCTTTGTTTTCAAAGGATTTGAAGATTTTTAAAGAAATGGATGCTATAGATAAAAAGTATAGATTTTTGTATCTTGAAAAGGAACTTAGAGAAAATAAGTTAGGGAACTCTTACCCAAAAAACAGGTATGGTGTCCTGATGTTAGGACACTAAAACATTCTGGATTGTTGACCACCTTGACTAAAATGGAAACTTAGCACTCTCAGTGAGATGCAACTTAATCGGAATTGAACAGACCTCCCTCTTGTTTAAATGACACCAGCTCACAAGAGGGAACTTACTGACCCTGTGGCCACAGGTGGAGACAATTGGCTATTTTGTTGGACACTTGTGATCCTATAAACACCTTCTTGCTGGTGGGTACAATCTAAATCCTTAAAACAGTGACAGTGCGTTAGCACCTCTCCTGCAATAACTGGACACTCTGCTATGGCAGATCGGGGACTTCTCCTCCAGGGGAGACCCAGAGCCCCGGGAAGCGGGGGGGACCATGAGGCCTGCAGGGACCTTGTCGCTGCTTGGATACTGATTCCTGGGCTTAAGGACAGCTCATCTACTTTATATTCTTCTACAAAAACCTTGTTTCCTCCCTGTGTTCATAAGGCAGCATTTAAGTAAACTTTGTGGGGGTCTCTGGAAACAGTTTCCCATAGTGTCTGGGCCTCTGACCCTGTTCTGCTCCCTCACACACAACAGCTGCATCATTTTAGGACAGTGAACAAAAGTCCTTCTCGTTGTAGTTAGGTAATTTTGGATAATCCCTCCGGGGACATAATGGTATTACCATGATGATAATGGTGTTTGACAATTATATTTTATATTATATTGGTGAACTAGATTTATGTGTCTGGACAACAAAAGTAATAGGCATTTTGTAGTTTTTTTCTGAGTAATTCTAAAGTTTTTATTTTATCAGATTCTTACAATAACACCATGAAATACAAAAGTTAACATGACTTACCCAGTACCTCTTTGGCCAGTTAGTGGTTAGCTAGACTAGAGTCTGGTTTGTTAGTGGTTAGCTGGATTAGTGTAATTTCTTTAGTGCCCAGACTAATTCTTTATTTACTATATAACACTGGTACAGCCTTAAAAATCTCAGTCAACAGTTCCAGGTCGTCAACTGCAAACCCAGATTTACTTGGAGGTTAGTGGATTCTCTTTTCAGCACAGGTTTGGAGAAAGTGGGAATGGCCACAGTCACCACAATTTGCACTTGGAGAGTGGAGACGTCCTTCCTACTAGGCATCCTTTTATTTTTTATGCTATAAAAAAAAGACTTTCATAAAAAATGACAAAACCTCCCTTTAGGAACATTTTGATTTTAACAGAGCACAGTTTAAACTGTATGAATGAATCTTTTGCAGTTTCAGGTTTATGGAGTTTCCCATGGGGAGTTTTTTCCCTCACCAGCATCACTACAACCAGCACACATGAGTTTCAGGCCAGAGATCTGTGCCACTGTGTCTCAGACACACTCTGACACCCACAACTACAGAGATTCTGGAGCAGTGTAGGAAGCCTGCTTCAGGGGCTCTGAGGCCCCTCGCGTGGGACGCTCTGAGCCACAGCAGTTAACGAGGAAGCTGCTCCCAAAGCAGGTGCACAGCGTCCACCCCAGGAGCCACCTTCAGTGAACCCAATGCAGACACAAAGTGAGCTCTTCCTGGACACCTGGGGAGCTGCGAGGTCTGTTTGCTAAGTTCACAAAAGTTCCACAAATGGTTTAGAGAACCTTTATACTTCTAATTTTATGTATGATATTAATTAGAGCTTCATTGCAAACATAAGAAAATTTCCTTCCCTGGGATGTTGTCCACTCTTTGAAGTTTAACTCAAAGGGAAAAAACGACAGAATAATTACTCCACACATGGGTGGATGCACCTCCTGACTGGCCGGTCCTGTCCCCACAGGCCCTGTGTGCAATCGCTGCAGGGCAGGGGCTGCCACCTACCTTGGTGAGGTCTTTGTACAGCTCCGGGTACAGCATGGCCATCTCGGGCTTCACATCCTGGTCTAGCACCAGGGAGAACACGGGGAACATGGTATATACAGTCGCATACCTTGAGGCGAGAAGGAAGTTAGGTCAGTCTGAAGAACCGCTCCACTACAACCAGGGATGTGCCCCTGAAATTAGTGGTCCAAGTTTCAGAAACAAAACACCCCACAAAAAAAAAAAAATAAGTTGGCAACCAAATCAGATTATTCCTGAAAACCATTTATCCCACAGCACAGTAACATGTTATATAACATTTTCCATTAAACTTTTATGTTGAGATCATTACATACTCACGCACAGTCATCAGGAACAGCCCGGAGACACCCTTTGCTCCATTTCCCAGTTTCCCATTACAAACTTAAGTTTGTAATACTTTTACAAACTGCAGGGTGACCTCCCACCTGGAACCTGGCACCCCCAGGCCCAAACACAGAGCACCTCTCCTGCCAGGGCTCTGTCTGTGCCCCTCACGTCACAGCCACTGCCCTCCCAGCCATCTCCTTCCTGATTCCTGGCAACCACATACCTGTTCATATTTATAATTTCTATCCTTGAAAGAAGTTCACACAAATGGAAATATATAGTAGGGAACCTCTGGGGACTGGCTTTTCTCATTCGACATAATCTCTAGAGAGTCATCCAGGTTTTTACTGTGTCAATAACTCAATTCTTTATTTTTCTGAGCAGTCTGAGTTGTATGAATGAATCATAGTTTATCTAACCATTCATTCATTCTTTCACTTAAGTACATATGGGATATTTCCAGTTTTTAATTAGTACAAATAAAATTGCTATAAACATTCAGTGCACTGATTTATCTGGGTAAAATTCTCACTTACCTTGTCACTAGGTCACACGTTCTTGCTATGTGCAGTTTTTTAAGAGATTGACAAAATGTTTTCAGATGGCAGGAGTGACTGACAACATAGAAGGTCCCCAGTCCCCTGAATCTTCACCACAACGTGACGCTGTCACAGTCCCCCGATCTTCACGTAATGTGACAGTCACTCCTCCACCCTTGACGGCTGTGTAGCAGCCTTTCCCTACCGAGGACGGGCACCTCCCCACACCTCCTTGCCATCTGCATATCCCCTTGGGTGAAATCTTTGTGTCCTAGTCCGCTTTCTTCATACGCTGCTGGACACACAGCTTCAGCTATTTCTCATCCACCCCGACAGGCACATATGGGATGGAGGGTCCGGTGCCGACATGCCCCTTCCTGCTGACTGGACACCTCCCAGCACCCTGGGCTTCGGGGAGAACATTTCCTTTACCACCTGCCTGCTCTCTGGCGCTGCCCATGTGTTTCCTCTCCTGCCTCCTCAGCAGCTGTGCTGTGCTGTCTCTAGTGTGGGTTTCTTTGAACTTACACTGTTAGGGGTTTGCTCACCTCTTCTATCTGCAGGCTGATGTCTCTTCCTAAGTTTAAAACTTTTCCTTATAACATCAAGTATTTCTTGGCCCTGCCCTCCCCCACTTTGGGGACTCCAGTGAGAACAGCAGGTCTGTGCTATAGCTCTGCGGTCCTGAGCTCTGGTCACCTTTGTCCAGCCTGTTTCCCTCTGTTATGAGACTGAGTCCTTTCTCCATTCTCTCCATCCTGCTCCTGGCTTATTCATTGCATTTATTTATTTCATTTCTAAAATTTCCATTTGGTTCAGCTTTGTATTTTCTATTTCTTTGCCGAGATGTCCTATTTTCTTCTTTGTTCCAAGCATGCTCAGAACTGCTGACTAAAGCATTTATGTGGCTGCTTTACAATCCTTGTCAGGAAATTTTGATGTTTCTGCATCTTAGGGTCAGCTTCTATCGTCTATCTTTTTCATTAACCCTGAAATCTTCCTGGTTCTTGGCATGTCAAGTGACAGGAATTCTGGACATTATAGGTATTATACAGGAGACTCTGGATCCTACCTTGGTGTCCTGATGCTGCTCTGGTGGGGGAAGGAGGGAGATGCCCTGTTCCCTGTGGAACCCCCACTGCTGGGTGCTCTCTACTGTGGGGGACCTGTGTGCGTTGTCACAGCACCATGAAGTCTAGGGTTTCCTCTGCCTTTTCAGGGAGGTCAGCATGGGCACAGCTGTCCTCTGTGTTTGGCTGGAATAGTGACTGTCATTTAAACTTGTCTGTTTTCCCAGCTGACCCTGTCCAAGCAGGAGCCGGAGGCTGTGGTGGGGACTTTGTCCAGGCTGCTGGCTGCTGCAGCTCCAAGTGTGGGATGCCCAGAGTTCTCTCCCGCATTGCTTCTCCATGCCCAAGGCCCTTTCTGCCTTCTCTCCTCTTCTAAGACCTTCTCCATGTGACATCCAGCGTTTTTGTCATACTTAGCAGAAGGAATAGGGACAAGGATCCATCTTCAGAAGAGTACAACTGGGATTTTTATTTTTTATTTTTTGAGACAGAGTCTCACTCTGTTGCTCTCAGTAGAGTGCTGTCCTATCACAACTCACAGTAACCTCAAACTCTTGGACTTAAGTGATTCTCTAGCCTCAGCCTCCCAAGAAGCTGGGACTACAGCTTCAATGTCCAGCTATTTTTTTTGTTGTTGTTGTTGTAGTTGTCATTGTTGTTTGGCAGGCCTGGGCCAGGTTTGAACCCACCAGGCCCAGTATATTTAGCTGCCGCCCTAACCACTGAGCTATGGGCGCTGAGCATACAACTGTGATTTTTAATGCCATTTTCACCTGTGAGGAAGTGTTTGCGCAGGGAAAATTATCCAGTGGTAGAAAACCAGGAAAATAGCCCCACGACAGCATGAATCTGTAAGCCTTGTGACGTGTAGATGCTGAAAGGCTATGTTCTGTTTCAGTATGCCGGACTCCACGTCACTTAGCACAGGCTGTTCAACATTTTAAACCCCTGGAGGGTTATATAAGAGATATTCTCTTATATGAAAGAACTTATCAATCTTTTATGTCTCACATAATTTTGTGCTATTGGCAAATTATTACTGGGAAGAAATCTTAAAACTCAGTATCTGAATGCTTCAGAGTACTTTAAGTACAAATTCAACCTTTAAGTTCTTTATTAGGTTAAACCTGTGTACTTTTGTTAATTTTCTTTGAACTCCCATGCTCCTTAGAATCTGGAAACTTAACAGGACCAGGGAATTACAGATGACCCCATTACTGCGGAAGGCAGCAGTGCCAGGTCTGGGATGGATGCTGATGTGTGAGACCTCACCCTGGGTCAGAGCCCAGGGCCACACTGTCATCAACCCCACTAGGAAGGCTCCAGCACACTGATGAAAATTGAACTTCTTGGGATTTTCAAACATTGAAATAATCAGAGCCACCCTCCTTTCACAGACCCCTATCCAGGTACAGTTTTTAGTGAGTGCTTTGAAGACTCTGAGAGGTGTCCTGTGACCCAGAGGAAGGCTCTGTGCCTGGGCAGGGGGACTCAGTCTGCCTCCTGCTGCTACGGTGAGGTCCTGTCCCCTTATGTCCAGGTGCCCACAGAGCCTCCCACATCCTTGGCTTTCTCTGGTTTTATGTCCTGTGCTTGCTCCGTGTTGCTGACTACTTTATTGCATAGAAAAAACATGGTTTGTCCTTCCATCCATCAGCTGAGGGGCATTTGGGATTTTCTAATCCTTGTTAGCATAAACACAGCCATGAGAACTCCTGTGCAAGTCTATAGATGCTGGTGTCTTCATTTCTCCTGGGTAAACACTAAGAAGGAGGATTGTTGGGTTGTGTATAAGCATCTGTTTAATCTTATGAAAACTGCCAAACTGTTTGCTGGAGCAGGTTGAGCCTTGTGCATTCCCACCAGCAATGCAGTGCCTGAGCCTCCCCACGCTGCACAGGACAGGACCACCCGCCCGGAGCGGCCTCTGCCGTGCACTGTGCCATGTTTGCATTTCTTAATAACAAACAATGTAAATGTACTTTCTTGTGTTTCTCGGCCTTTTCTATCTTCTTTTGCGATTTAAGTTCAAAATTTTAGCTTTTTAAAGAAAATTCAGTTATCTTCTTATCACTGAGTTAAAAATAATTAAGATCTCCAGACACAAAACTTTTGTCAGATATCTGTGTTGAAAGTATTCTCTCCCCATCTGTCTTTTTATTTGATGACTATTGTCTTTGGAAGAAAAAAACCTTAATTTTGATGAAGTCCATTTTGTAAACTGTTTCTTTAATGTTTCATGCATTTTGCACCTAGGAGATCTCTGCCAACCTAAGATCCAAAGCTCCATGGGTGTGAGTTCTGGAAGTTTCAGCACTGTTTCCCTCTGAGGCATTCTATCCCCACGGCCTGTGAGCCATAGCCTAAAAACAACTGTTTCAGGTTTCAGCCTGTTTTCCACTCAATTATTCTTGGAGGTAAATCTGTTCCCTGTTCTTCTGGTTGTGGCTGGAAGCTCCCCAGGCCCTTCTGATAAACCACAGAGCCTACACTTCCCTGCGGCCCCCGGGGAGGCTCCTATGGACCCTCTGGCCTTCCCTGGTCCTCCTATGGTCACTCACCTTCTTGGGTGCTCTATCACAATGCTGTCTAACTTTGGCAAGCACTCGCAGGCTCTCGAGGTTAGACACTGGCAAAGACACAAAGTGACCACCAGGGCCACCGCTGTGGTGTGGCACTGTGAGAGGAGCCCAGGGCCGCTGCTAGCATCACTGGCGCATGGCCTGGTATCTCTGGACACTTTCAAAAAGCACAAGCAAGGAGCGGCCTCTACTAGGAGCACCCCTAGAGCCTGTGCCTCCACCAGGAGCATCCCCTAGGGCCTGCGGCTGGCTGTCGCCTGCAATGTCCATCTGACAGGGCTTCAGCCCACACAGCTCACCAAGGGGACTCTGCCTGGAAGTTCTCTTTCTGGAGGGAGGGCGTGGAACCCCAAAGGAAGCCTGTTTGCAAGGGCAGGCAGGGCTCAGGGGTCCCCTGTAAGCACCTGCCCCTCTTTCTTGCCCCTGGGCCATCATTTCTCTACAGAACTAATGAAATAACTAAGGATGAGACCCTAATGCAGTGATTCTCAACCTGTGGGTTGTGACCCCTTTGGGGGTTGAACGACCCTTCCACAGGGGTCACCTAAATACATCCTGCATATCAGATATTTACCTTATGATTCATACTAGTAGCAAAATTACAGTTATGAAGTAGCAATGAAAATAATTTTGTGGTTGGGAGTCATCACAACATGAGGACCTGTATTATAGGGTGGTGGCATTAGGATGGTTGAGAAGCACTGCCCTAATGTGTCCTCTAGTTTCCAGAGCTGGGTATTCTGTCCTAGAGCAATAGGACCTTGGTCTGCTTAGATTTCACTTTGAGCAAATATCATGTTGCTTCCTGCTCAATTCTCAGTATTTATTTACTAGGTGAAGGCAAAACTCATTTCATTATTCATTTATTTATTATTTTCTGAGACAGAGTCTCATTCTGTCACCCTGGGTAGAGTCCCATGATATCATCATAGTTCACAGCAGCCTCAAACTCTTGGGCTTGGGTTTTCCTCCTGCCTCAGCCTCCCAAGTAGCTGGGACTACAGGTACCCACAATAATGCCCAGCTAGTTTTTCTATTTTTAGTAGAGATGGGGGTCTCACTCTTGCTCAGGCTGGTCTCAAACTCCTGAGCTCAAGCAATCCACCGCCACGGCCTCCCAGAGTGCTGGGATTAGAGACATGAGCCACCACACCCAACCTCATTTTATTATTCATTTTCAAAGAAGTTTAACTTCAAAGCATCTCCCTTCCAAACCTCCCACCTAGCAAATTCAAAGTAATAAGGCTTAAGAAAATTGCAGACATCTCATTTAAGTGACAGACATTCAGAGTAACTACCCATAAAACTCAATATAAACATAAGCTTTAGAAAGAAGGCATGCCTAGGCAAAGGCCCCCCCCACTCTCCCGACCCCCCCCAGCAAGCTGGACAGGCCTCAGGGTGTGAATTCATTAACTCAGGCAATGCTACAACGTAATCTCTACAGCCCCTTAAGTTTCCCTTTTTAATGTTTAACATTTTAATAATGTGAAAGACAGTATGGTTATGCTTTTCTGTGACCTCCAAGGAGGAAATATACTGTTGAAATTCTTGATATAATTACCATTATTCTGCAAACTCTATACTAATTAGAAGTAATTAATGTAATAATTATTGCAAATATTTAAGCAACAGGAAAACATAAGAAAAGAGCTCTGTGAATCTTCAGGGTTTCTCACTTTTTCTGGAAGTCTACAAGACAGGCTACTGGAATGAGGGGAAGTTGAGAACGCTGGGACAAACCCTTCCCCGATTTCCATCATTTACATAAGCCATGCGTTGGCAGGTTGCTGGGCACATTTTTTGGTCACGCAGAAACATGAATGAGACCCAAAGACCTAAACTGATACTGTATGAGAGCCACCTGGTCACATGCTCTCTCCCATGGGCTGAAGGGGCTCAGATACCCAAGGCAGCCTAAAGCCCATGACAGAGGCTTCTTCACAGGCCATGGGGGAGTCTGCAGTGTCGGCACCAAGGAAGCTCTGCTGGGCTGGAGAGGTTGTCACCTGAGTAACTACACAGAGAGGGCCAGGATGCAAGGCTGTTCACCCCAGCCCATAACAACTGGGTTCTGGTGCGTGGGGGAGACCAGAGCTGCCTTGAGTAGGCCATGAAGGCCTTCCCTTCCTGGGGATGCCTGCAATGGAGGCCCACTCCACAGTGGGTCCAAGGTGGCACCTGTCCTCCTGTCCTCAGAGAGCATCGTGACACACACTACAGAGGAGTGATGCTGCGGGGGACTGGTGGGCTTCCTGGGATGAGGCCAGGGGGTGAGACAGCTGGTGGTGGCCAAAGCCAAGGTAGCATTGTGGAAGGAGGCCATAGCACTGTGTGGACAGAAGGCTGCCCTCCTGAAGTGCACGGCCGTGGAGGCTGAAGCCCTGGTCCCGGCATGTAGCAGAGGAGTCAGATGGCAGTACCTCCAGGAGTGGCTGCGTCCATCTGTGATTTCAACTTGAAAAGCAGGTAAGTTTACCCTAACACACACACAGATGAACATTCCCTTAGATGCTGCTAGAAGTCTGAGGCATCACAGCCACACAGGGTGGAGAAACCCTGCGTTTGTTCTCTGCCGACCAGGCAACAGGTGGCTGGTGTACATAGCTTGTCACATCAGTGGGGCTCTGCCCCTCGGAGCAGGTCCTAGGGCTCTTGGGCCTCTCACTTTCTCACAGGGAGGGAGCGTAAGCAAACACTCCTGTCTGAGCACCACGGCTGCTGCCGTCAGCAGCTCTCCCTGAGGGTCCTGTGTGCAGAATCTGGTTAAGGAGGAAGGGGCTTGCTGGAGGTCGGGGAGGAAGCAGCAGGGGGGCAGGGCCTCCATCCTGCCTGCCACATGCCAACAACCCTCGGTCCAGCCATGAGGAAGAGAAGATAAATTCTAAGCCAGTCGCTGTGCACAGAAAGTTCCTATTTCCCAGGTCTAGTGGGCAAGCCTAGCTGAGCCTTCAGTACAGATCATGTGCCTGTCACACCTTGATGCCCTTTTCTAAGACATCCAAGTGGGTATCATTGAAAATGAGATCCTGTTCATGCCAGGAGGGCTTTGGAACAGGCTACATCACACCCACATTTAAGGAAACACTGCAGTGCTTTCTCTCCTGTTCTCTGTCACTAACTGACTGTCCCCATGATTAGACCTCGCTGGCCAGCAGAGAGGCAGCCCTCAAAAGGCTCACTGTGGCCCCTGGCTCAAGCCCTGCTGCTTCCCATGTCCTGGGCCCTTTATGAAAGTCTCAGATCCCGTCCAGGTCCTGACACAAGTTACGGCTTCCCTGTGAGAGATTCTGAAGCACAGTCACAGGAGGAAGGGCGTGTATAGGGGGTCTTATAGCTCACCCAAGTAGTTTTTACATCAGTATTATTCACTCTAAATGTTGGTTGCATAAAGAGTTACTCAGAAACAACATTCTATACACGTGTTTTCAAAAGAACAGCAGTCCCTACATGACAGCCCCGGCACAGTGTGGACTGATCCAACTCACCCCACCATGAGGAATCCCTGGTACAGAGGCACCGAGGCAAAGTAGAAGACGGAAGAGAACACGGCCTGAGAGAGAGAGAACACGGCAGGTCAGAGCACACTCACAGCACCCCCACCACTCTGCACTCAGGCTCTGCAGAGCTGCCCCACCCTGGACAGAGTCCCACCACGTCCAGGACGTCAAGCAATCACACAGGCCCCTGTGATGTTCCCGTGGCCTTCTAAACGCCACTGCTGCACACACCCAAGCATGTAGATGGGCACCTGCATGGTGGAGATGACCAGGCCTCGGTGCATGACCAGCTGTCCCAGCGCCGCAGACCTCTTGTAGCTGTTACGTCCGTGCACCACAAGCAGCCTGCCCACGTGTCTAAACTGCGTGATGGAGAAGTCAGCTGCCAGAGATGCCTGTTTCCCTTCCTGAAACAAGAACACAAACTGCCTTTCAGATGCCACAGGTGCTGGAACCACACCCTGAAAGCCGACTTCTAGCAATCAGGCTGAATGAAAAGGAGTTGAAATTCTATCTATGTCTGACTTTGAAAGCTCCAACTGATTGATGGGGGAAGGGCCCACAGTGATAGGCAGATGTGCACCTGCCTGATGGCATCTGAAAGTCTGAGTCCACAGGCTGTCCCCAGCCTGGGGGTTGACAGGGCTTTTAGGACAGTAGGGCTGGCAGTACCTGGGAGTGACATGGACTCCGGGTGTCCAGGATTGGCAGTACCTGGGGGTGACATGGATTCCAGGAGACCATGGCTGGCAGTGCCTGGGGGGTGACATGCATTCTAGAAGAGCCAGGGCTGGCAGTGCCTGGGAGGGTGACAGGGACTCCAGAAGAACCAGGGCTGGCAGTGTCTGGGGGTGACAGGGACTCCAGGAGACCAGGGCTAGTAGTGTCTGGGGGTGATAGGGACTCCAGAAGAGCCAGAGCTGGCAGTGTCTGGGGGTGTCAGGGACTCTAGGAGTCCAGGGCTGATAGTGTCTGGGGTGACAGGGACTCTAGGAGGACCAGGGCTAGCAGTATCTGGGGGTGACGCTGACTCCAGAACAGCCAGGGCTGGCAGTGTCTGGGGGTGACCGGGACTCTAGGAGTGCAGGGCTGGTAGTGTCTGGGGGTGACAGGGACCCCAGGAGGGCCAGGGCTGGCAGGCCTTAGACACTACCTTGTCATCCTGGGCTTCTTCAAGACAATTCTCCAAACCTCAGTTTTCTCACATTTTAAACACAATCCATTTTCTATTTCACAAAGGTGGTATAAGGTATTATAGAACTACCCAAGGAAAAAAGTAGGCCAGCAAATCAGCCAATACCTGACTTTCCAGGTATTTCTGGCTATGTTTTTATGTTAAGTGACTATGGGAAAGAGATGGGAATATCATTCAGGTGGTATAGAAACGAACCTCAAACCATAGCTCAGTGGGCCAGGAGACACGACACCTGGACAGAGTACCCCATGTGGAGTGGGAGTGGGCACTCCAGGTGCCTGGAGAGGACACGTCATCACATGCCACTCCAAGAACACGGCGTTGATGCACTGTGGATATTACCTGCATGTCACAAAGATGACTCCCCACTGCAGAATAAAGGACAGCAGGAAGGCATCTGACTTATCTGTCTGTGACTCAGCACAGATCAGAGCCCGGCACACAGCGTTATCAGTGTGTGTGGACCGTGTGGAGTAGGCGTGTGTGTGGACCGTGTGGAGTGGGCGTGTGTGTGGACCGTGTGGAGTGGGCATGCCACGCACGTACCTTCCCTTCAATCCCAATCCCACAGTCGGCCGCCTGAATCATGCTCACATCATTTCCTCCGTCACCTGTGAAGCACGGAAAGTTGTGAAATTAAATAAAACACCTATCCACCATTGTATTTTTTCTTTTATCCATTATAGGCTTTTAAAATTTTCTAGTAATGTTAACGAAATCAACTTAGCCTTAGAGATGGAGTGTGATTTTGTCTATGAATTCCAGGATATCAGTTTCTCTTAAAACATCACTAGTGAGATGGGAGGTGGCATTTCCCACGTCCTCAGCGTGGGTCGGGGCCTTGCGGGGTGGGGCCGCGCTCACCGATGGCACAGGTGCGCCTCCCCGTGCGCTGCTGCAGCAGGGTCACGATGTGCGCCTTCTGTGTGGGCGAGCAGCGGCAGCACACCACGGCGGGGCACTGGCAGGCCAGCTCCACAAACTCATGCTCGTAATACTTTAGGCACACCTGAGAAACAAAGTGCTCTGTCATTTTGCCTGATCCCAACCACACTGCCCTGGGTTTGTGTGAGGTGCAAAGTGCAGATGCATGACAGGAGCCACAGCCTCCCTGAGGGGTAGACGTGTTTGCACACCCAGGACCCCTCTGCTGACTGAGGCCCCTTCCCAGGTGTGGCAGCCCAGTCCTGTCCCAGGAGCTTGGGTGGACATACAGGAGTATGGGGAGAGACTGGGTGGCCCAGGCACCAGCAAGGAAAGAGGACAAGTCGCAGAGGCCGTGTGGACTGGCCACGAGAGACAGGTAGAGGGCAGCTTAGACACAGGGGCCCTGCTTTGGGCCTGGGAGGGACGGGGCACTTCATGGTGAAATCACTAAAGAGGCCCTTGTCACCACGATGGGGAAATTCCAGGCCTTCTGCAGAGGTGGCTGTTAGGCAACTCCAGGAAACTGACCCGAGGTGTATGCTCTTTCTTAGATGAGTTCAACACTACCAATCTGGGACTTGGCTAATAAAAGAAATTTGTTTGATCTGGACTATCAAATAAGAAATCAAAATTCCCTATCGTGGTTGACAAAGCAAAATTCCCGAAGCTCTGCCTGAAGGATGCACAGCCGAGCCATTACACTGAGCACTCTGGAGCTTATACTGAGCAGCAGAGAGCAAGCTTCTCAAGCCCCTGACATGAGGCAGTGCAGTTATCAATGGAGAACCCCAGGGACCAGCCCCATCCCAACATCAGCCTGAAACACAGGGCACCCCATTATCAGCATCCTAAATCAGAGACCCCCACACTAAAATCTTCCCATACCAGAGGGTTCCCACACTAATATCAAACCACATGATGGGGTCCCCCACTAATACTCCCACATGCCACAGGGTCCCCCCTAACACCCCACACGCCACAGGGCCCCTCTAACACCCCACATGCCACAGGGCCCCCGCTAACACCCCACACGCCACAGGGCCCCCCTAACACCCCACACGCCACAGGGCCCCCCTAACACCCCACACGGCACAGGGCCCCCCTAACACCCCACATGCCACAGGGCCCCCTCTAACACCCTACACATCACAGGGCCTCCCCTGGTGTCACTCTGGATTGTGTAGGTCTCCCCATCTGATGGGCTGTGCAGGTCCCTCTCTGTTCCCAGCTTCAAGGGAGGCTCTGACAAGGTCTGCAGAGGCTGCTCGTCTGTGGAGGCCCGACAGGGACTCACGCCCACCTTTGCTTTCTTCCTTTAGCCCTGTGTCTAAAGCTGTGCCTGTACACCCCTTGTGTCTCTTTCTTTGCACACTATTCTTTCCCTACTGTTATTTCACTTTCTTACTCTTATTTTCCCTGGCTTGTACTTTCTTGTCAACATAATTTTTATTCTCACACAATACATGTATTTTGTCTGAGTCTTCTCAACCCTTCCTGGATATGAAATAACATAATAAGACAAAATAAATGGCCTATCAGCTGCTGAAAATTATTCCAAAAAATTCATTAAGTATAACAGATTGGGGGGATGACAGCAAGGAAGAGAGTGAAATCTTCATCTTGCACAGCAAAAATTAAATAGATAACATCAAAAACTTTATTAATCAATCCACGTAGTAACTCACACCTGTAATCCTAGCACTCTGGGAGACAAGATGCGAGAATTGCTTGAGCTCAGGAGTTTAAGACCAATCAGGGCAAGAGTGTGACTCTGTCTCTACAACAAACAAACCAAAACTTTAAAATATCAAGTATTAGGGTGGTACCCATAGCTCAGTGGGTAGGGCACTGGCCACATACACTGAGGCTGGTGGGTTCGAACCTGGCCTGGGCCTGCTAAACAACAATGACAACTGCAACAAAAAAACAGCTGGGCATTGTGGAAGGTACCTGTAGTCCCAGCTACTTGGGAGGCTAAGGCAAGAGAATCGCTTAAGTCTAAGAGTTTGAAGTTGCTGTGAGCTATGACACCTAAGCACTCTACCAAAGGGTGGCATAGTGAGACTCTGTCTCAAAAAAAAAAAAAATCAAATATTAGCTCTACAGAGATTGTGGAAACAAGTGCCAAAATATGAGGTCAATGGTAGTCTTGAGTGAGTGCTGGGCCTGGGGTAGGAAGGGCAGGAAGGGCAGAGGGCTGACACAGCCACCTGGCTGTATAGACGAACACCTGTGCAACTCTGTGCAACACACAGGCACAGTAAACACAGACCACCCAGGGCTGGAGGGCAGAGACCACCCAGGGCTGGAAGGCAGAGACTGGAGCGTGCCCCAGGACTAGGAAGCAAAGGATGTAGCATACTGTCTTGTGGGGTCATGTGATGAGACAACAGGACAGCCCCATAAGGGACTGTAATGCTCAGATGGGACAGCTCTGGGGACAGCGAAAGCCAGGGTGCCTGTGCAAGAAGGGTCTCCCGACTGTCCACTCCGCAGAAGGTGAGGGAGAAGGTGACTAACTGTCTCTGAGACGGGCTGCTGCTGTCCACTTATGGGGGCATACTGGGAAGTGACTCACAGAGAAGGGACCTAAGACTAGAAGGAATTCCGCACCACAAAGAACTGTCCCCCTTCTGCAGAGGACGCACTACACTCCAAGGAGGCATTACACTCTGAGGGCCAGAGCATCCCCAGGATGGGCTGCAGCATGAGCTCCTGTCAGTGACTTGGTGGAGTGAGGGGAGCCACTCCGCTGAGAAGCTGCCTCTGTGAGATGCCTGAATAATGTGATGTGCCTCAGCTGACATTCTGGGACAGCTGACAGCTGCCCAGTTCAGAGGGCTTAGCTCTGGCAGGCTGCCAGCACAGATGGGCTGAGACAGTCAAGCTTGAGGGCCTGTGCCAAGGCTGCGTAGAGAGAAAAATGTGGACAAAGACGCTCTAGCAACTCCCCAGCGTTGGGCAGCCTCAGTTGGCCCTCGTGGGCCATCTCTATCCAGTGTTTCATGCAGTCCTGAGGACATTTATAGACTCCAGGGTGGACTACGATGCTCCCAGATAGGGACACAATATGCCAATTTCACTGTTTCACTTGGCTGGAGAATGCACGCTCCCCAGCACCCCACCAGACAGCTCTCTATCCCATGGGCACTCTCTGAAGGTGTATGTGGACCAAGAATCATGATGGCATAGTCAGGGCTACAGGTGAGTGGAGCTGCTGACCACAAGCAGCAGGCCCAGGGCCCAGAAAGGTGTCTGGATGAGCTGGATATCAGCTAACCTCTAAAGCATTAAGAACAGGAATGGTCACTGCACTCAGGTCTTCAAGCTGGGCCTGCTCACCAGAGCTACAGATGCCACCACCACAACAGGGCAGTGTCTGAACCTCACAGAGACGGGCAGTAGAAACCCTGGGTCTGCTAGCAGGGACAGAAGGACAGATGGCACCAGGACAGCCTTACCTCCAGAGAGTCCCCAGAGATGACCAGTGCACAATCATGCTTCCTCCTAAGTGCATTCAGCTCTAAGTGGGCCTCTCCCCGACTAGTTACCTGCAGTGAGGGAGAAAAATTATCCCAAATTAAAATGCTTCGTACACTAGAGGCAAGAACAGATAGGGTATTATTTGCAGAATTATGGTAAGAAGTTCTAAACCTATTTATTATCTAATATCTAAAGGTGTTTCACATTTGGACCTACAACAAGGTCTTTCCAAATTTTTCTTCTAGTGCTGGGTATATCTACCTGCTCATTTAACACAAATTGTTTTCTCATTTGTGGCAACTGAGAGCAAGAAACTTACAGTGTAAAGTGCAGTGAAAATACCACACTTTCATGAAATTTGTGTAAAAGGGTGCCTATGAGTTACTAATTACCATGGTATAGTCTGGGAGGGTAACTGGCTTTGATGAATACATTCCCTTAAGATACAGCTGTAATGATCAAAATTTTCTAGCAGCTCACACGAGACAATTATTTAATGGAGAACTGGGCTGGAGGGGGTTGGCGCAGGTGAGCAGGGCTGTTGAGAATCACTGATGCAGAAGGGCCCCAGCACAGGTCTACAGGGTTTCATTTCAACAAACTAGAGTCCGAAGCCCAGGGGAGGTGAGTTTGTCTATGCCAGAAGTCAGGTAAGAGACAGAACTAATGCAAATCAAGATTTTACTTAAATACGTATCTTATATCTTATCATCATTTATCAAATGATATAAAATACTTTTATGAAATTCCTTCTGCTGTCTCTGCCATGAGTTTCAACTTATTCCCGCTTTTGTTTAGTGTTGGAAGGATTTTAAAAATCTAAAATTAAGTCATGATCTTGAAATATTTTAGAATGACAATATTTCAAAAATCAATGTACTAGTTTTTGACATTCTTCCTGTGGAGACTTTATGGGGCATAAAATAATTGATATATTATGGGAATGAAATAAATTAAAAGCTTCGTGTGGCTCAAATTTACAATCTCAGACTCATCTTTACATAGGTAGATTTTATTGTGAAAAATTTAATTTGTGGTGCTATAACACTGAAAAGTCAACAACAATTGATCTGAAGTTTTATCAGAAACATTAATAATTTAATTGCAAATAGTAGTCTTCAGGGCCTAATTTGTGATTCTGATGCTTCAGAACAAACTACATTTACATGTAAATTATACTCAAGTAACTACTTCAGTAGGTGCAAGTGCTTCATTTAGAACAGACACAGGCACACAATGTCTGTTTACCCACCATCAATCAAGATCTAAGAAATTTTTATTTTTTGTTTGAATTAAATTTACTTATAATTAATACATACAGTAAACATATGAATTTAGATTATTTCTATTCATTTCTTTGAACTAATTAAGGAAGAGCATTTAGTCTGAAAAAGGTAGTAGACTGAAAACATATTTATTTTGTATTTAGGGCTTGTTCACAAAAGCAGCTGCTGGACCACATGTGTGTGTAATTGATAGAAAAATGTAATTTTTTAATGGATATACATTTTTATAAATTGAATAGAAAGTGAATGTAGTATGTCTATTTTAAAATCAATAGTAAATAATATTAACAGAACAACAGCAAAAACTTGAGATTTTAGAGCTTATTCACTCTATCAAAAAGCAGCTTTTGATTATGTTTTGATCATGATATTTATAATTAAAAGAAATCTCTCTAACTTTTTAAAAGAAATTGAGTATATTTTTAAAATTACAATACCTTTAAAAAGGATATTTTGTAATTAATAAACAAGTGCATATACATCCTCAAAAAACAATAGGCTTTAACTGCAAGATACAACATTTAAAAATTGTAAGTGATTTAGATACACACTTACTTGTCTGAAAATATGAATGTCTTGTGCTCTGGACACCAAATGTGAACTTTTGGCAATGCAAGTAGCTGTCTCGAGCTTATCGCCTGTTAGCATCCATATCTACGGAACAATTCAAACTGGTGAACTTCAATAATACAACCACACCACTTTCACCTCTTAAATGTGTCACTTTTGCAAACCCAGGTCCACTGCAATTATTCACAACAGCCAAAAAGGGGAAGCTACCCCAGTGTCCACTGACAGATGGATGGGCAAACAGAACGTGGTCTCCCCACACAAGGGAGTCTCACTTGGCCTAAGAAAGGAAGAGTAGTCTGACACAGGCCAGTGTGGCTGACCCTTGGGGATATTATGCTCAGTGAAGTCAGTCAGTCCCTAAAGGACTAATTCCATGTGATTCCACTCCCAGAAAGTCCCCAGGACTCAGAGTCCCAGGGACAGAAGGAAGTAGTGGTGCTGGGCCTGGGGGCTGCATGTTTAATGACTGCAGAGCTGCAGGTGGGCGAGATGGAAGCTGGAGGCAGACAGGTCATGCTACACAGCAGTGTGGATGTGCTCAAGGCCACTGGGCTGTGCACCTGAAACAGCTAAACTGGCAAGCTGCATGTTTTACACACTTCACCACAATAGAACAGTGTCTGCGCTTGCTCAGCTATAAGTGAGAGCAAAGTGAAGCCCAGACACAGTGGAAAGTTCTGGGTGCCCGTGGAGGACACCAAGGTTGGCACCTGAAGGCACTCTGATGGGGCAGCTGCCCGTCGCCGTGGCCCTCCATGCCACACACGGGCTGTGCAGGGCACCTGGCCAGGGCAGCATCAAGGAGATCTTCACTTCAACTCACTCGCTTTTCAGCTGGAAACTGAGGTTCAGATGGGTAATTGGCTCAGAGTTGAGCCAAAAGTTGTTTATATCAAATAAAAAATGTCAAATAATACTAGTTTTATATTAGAAAACTAGAAGCACACGCACATGTGAGTATACATTCCTAGACTATGAAGAAAGTCAATACCAGGGTATTTGATGTATAACAGGATGTTTCACATGACAGCAAAAATCTTTCAGTAATATTCTCTTCATCTCCTCTTTTCATAATTTCTATACGTCATATAGAAATATGCATATTTGGAAATAGGAAACAGAAAAATCCTTACGAGGTATCCTGATTATTTACTTAGGTATGCTCTATTTGTGGTTCTTTTCAACGTTTGAAGATTTGGGCTTTTTTATTTATTTTACACATTGTATTCACATGACTGGACCTGAGGTTATGACATAATAAAATTATCTGACAAAGCTCAACAGTTCCCATAGCAACGCTGAGTGCGACTCAGGAATCATATGTGAGGCCTGGCTCAAGTACCTATCACCTTCCAGGTTCAGAGGAACATGTGAAAACAGATTTCTCATTATGCAAAGAGATGAAAAGGACCTGACCCTTCAGAAAGGGAACGCAGAGGATAAAGGCAGAACTCAAGAATCTCTTAGACGGTTTAGCAAAGAATTAATACAAACACCCACATCTTTACCCAAGGAATGTTTTCTACTTTAACATATTGATAATCAGGCATGTATAATTAAGAAATAGATTGATCAGAGTTTATTAAAAATTATAATGAAATGAACAGGTCCACCTTTTTCTAATTAACCTCATTTCCTCATACAATTTTTTGGCTATACAACTCAATTAAGTTTAAGTAATTATAACACTGTGAATCTGAATGTTCTCTCATTATTTTTAATTCCTATTTGAACAGTTCCTCTGAAATCAGAGACAGCCTCACGATGTACTTTCGACTAAGCCTTCCAGACTGTGTACCCGCACGGGTCCCTGCAGAGTAGCACACACGCCACAGTGTCAGCACGGAGGCTCACAGAATGTATTTTGATTTGAAGTTAGACATAGCTTTTATTTTCCAACATTTTACTTCAGTTTTTTGTTTTTTTTCTTTTGAGACAGGGTCTCCCTCTGTTGCCCAGGCTGGAGAGAAAGCAGTGGAGCCATCACAGCTCACCGCGGGCCCCCAACTCTGGGCTCAGATTCTCCTGCCTTGGCCTCCCAGGATGCCGGGATCACAGGTGTGAGCCACTGTGAGGGGCCTTCCCTTCAGTTTTGTCTCTCCAGTCTGGCAATATATAAGTTTGTCTTTTAAAACCACATTATATTTTTTTCCTTGTGGTAGTACTAAAATTTCTGTACAAATCTTTAACTGAACTTTCAGCTTCAGTGAGAACATGGGAAGTAAGAAAGTAGTTTCCTAAAAAATAAAACTACCACAAAGTGCTAACGTCCCCCATCCATGAAGAGGACATGTCAGTGAGGAAGAGGCAGCAGGGTGTGGGCATAGCAGGTGAATCCACTGCCGTGCAGTCTCCAGGGAAACCCCCAGAGAACTCAGAGCCGCTGAATCTCCCCATTGTAAGAGAAACGTAAATTGAAGTTTTACAGATGCCACATTTGAGTGCCCAGCAGTCAGAGATCAAGCAGCTGGACAAGATGGGGCACTGCCAAGGTATGGGGAGGCTGTGGGAGTGTCAGGCGCACGGCCCTGAGACAGGGGACTCTCCAGGGCCCCTCACAGGCTGACACCTGTTCTTCCTAGGCAGCACCTTCACACATGCCTCACCGCTCAGGCACCTCAAGTGAGCGCTGAGGCTCCCGCTGCACATCCTGCTGTACCGTTGAGTCTGTGACAGTGGGGACAAATTATTTCATCAAAACATTTATTTGATGTCGGTTTCTGAACGACCCTCACTCTAATGTGAGTTTTTGCCCATATAAGCGGCTCTGAAGAATGGGATGACTGAACGGCACAACTCAGTGAGCAGCCCTCAGCCCACACAGCCCCATTGGACACGTGCCCTGGGCCACTGAGTGCTGCCACAGTAGAAGCACATAGGGCCCTGAGAGCCGACCAGGAGACTTGGGCCTGCGGAAGGAGGCCAGGCTCAGCCTCGCAGGACACAGAGCTCTGACAGCAGACAGGAGGGGCAGAGCGCGAGGTGGAATTGGGAACAAACTGAAGACCTTCCCCAGGAGGGAAAGGTCAGGGCTCCATGAGGGCAGAGGGTACAGGGAACAGACCCTGTGGCAGGCACCACATGCAGACAGGTGCCAGCGTGATGGCTCCAGCATCCCCCAGGACAGGGGGTGGGACAGCTCTCCCCATAATCCTTGTGTCTGTGAGCCCACCAAGTGCCACAAACTTCATTGTTGGAACACAGCAGTGTCTGGGGAGCCGGGATGGGGGGTGCTGAGGAACAGAGCAGTGTCTGGGGAGCCGGGATGGGGGATGCTGAGGAACAGAGCAGTGTCTGGGGAGCCGGGACAGGGGGTGCTGAGGAACACAGCAGTGTCTGGGGAGCTGGGATGGGGGGCTGAGGAACACAGCAGTGTCTGGGGAGCTGGGACGGCGGGCTGAGGAACACAGCAGTGTCTGGGGAGCCGGGACGGGGGGCTGAGGAACAGAGCAGTGTCTGGGAAGCTGGGACGGGGGGCACGCTACCTTGATGCCCGCATTGCGGAGCATCTCCAGGGTCGGCCGCACATCTGCCTGAAGCTGATCTTCCACACCCGTGAGGCACAGCAGCTCCATCTCCCGCTCCAAGCTCTCGACCACCGCAGCTACCTTGAGAGTCCTATCGTGGAGACTCAGCTTGGCCTGGCTGTATCGGCTCTGGAGACAGAGGAGAGCCCATGTGCACACCGTGTGCGTGCTGTGTGTACTCCACATTGATGGATGGTACCACCCTGCAGACACAGGGAGATACCCACATGTACACGTGTGTGTGCTCTACGAGTGTGCTGCATCATCACCCAAGACTTATGCACTTGTAAGTTACAACATTAGAGAAATTCTATAAGGGCTGCTCTGTGACCCCCTCTCCCAGGGGGCTGGAGAGGGCATGGAGACAGGAGGCTGCAGAGCCCAGACCAGGACCCTTCTGAAGCTGCCTTTGCGCCCGGGCTCTGGCACTTCCAACTTTGCCATTTCATGCGAAGACAGAAGAAATCATGTCAGTGGAAAGAGCAGGTGCTGGGGTAGTGGTGTTGCTGCCCATGATGGGCACCTGGGAGCAGCTCACCTCAAAGTCCTGGTACTGCTCCTCCGTCAGCGACCTCCTGGCAACCACGAGTGTCCGCAGCCCTTCCCGAGCCATGTTGCCACACTGTAAGGAGAGGCCATGTCACCTGCGGGTCCCACAGAGTGTCCTACCATGTGCGACATGTACCCTGAGGATGACCTCACCGGTCACACCACACTCTGGTGAACACTGTGGTTCCATGTGCATGTGTCCTGTAGAGAAACTTGGGCAAGAGCCCTAGGGAAAGTGCAGCCTGCACAGTGGCTCTTCCTCATGAGACGGAAGCTCAGCGCCATCGCCACACAGCACAGTGTGTATGTTAGAGGGATTTCGGCTTATACAGAACTTGTTTTAATCTCCCAACTCAGATAGTGAGTGGAGGTGAGCAGGGAGGGCTCAGCTGGGGAGTGGAGGGTAAGAATACACACTAAAACCAGGTAGCAGAGTCTGAAGACAAGTCTCTGCCAGGTTCTACTGTGTTCTCAGGCAACACACCTAAACATCCTGCCCCTTGCTTTCCCCACTGGTGGAAGTAAGTAACAGTTGTCCCAGAAGACACAGTGGTCTGCGTGAGCTCTTGCTGTATTGTCAACTCACGTGTCCCTGGCCACACCAGGCACCTGAAGGCTGCTGTGCTACAGCCCCACAGCTCATGGGCCTGGCCCTGTGGCCAGTCTTGGGCAGGGAAATTGAGCCCTGTGGAAGCATGGGACTTGATTTGCAAAGCAAACAAGAAATGGAAATGCATTCATTGCCCATAGCCACAGAAGGCCTGAGAATAACAAATCACCACTGGCCCCAGCAGAGGTACCTACCCAGCGGTGTCAGTGCAGGAGGGCTGAAAAGACTCCTGGAATTGAGGCTGTTCATGGGCTGGAACAAACCTATTTGGAGGTAATGGAACAATCCCCAAAGCATGCCCCGATGTGCACACATGGTCAAGAGCTCCCATAGCGGGTGTGTGGACAGGGCCCAGCCTTCAAGTTCTGGGAGTGCATTCTTACTAGACCACTGCCCCTTGGGCTCCCACCCAGATGCTCATGTGCCAGAGGAGTGCAGCAGGGCTGCTGGGCCTATCCTGTGCTGGCCTCTCACTTGCAGAGTGAACGAGGTCCCTTACGGGTCCTGTCCTCATGGGTCATGGGATATGACAGGTGACCAGAGGGGAAGCCTAGCAGGGCTGCCCGCAGAGAGCATGTGTAGTCCCACAACTTGGGACTTCTCTTGCATGGCAAGCACATTCCTTATCCAAACATGTCCCCTTCTGCTCCTGGGTATAAGGCAGTGCCCGCCCACAAGGAGCAGGCTGACCAAGGCAGATGAAGGCTGGAGGGCGGGAGGGAGTTCTCCCAAGGGCTGTAGGCAGGGAGAGAGACCTCAATGGGACAAGAGGGCAGCAAAGGCAGGACTCACATCAGCGACCCCTGCTTGAGGAGCAGACCCAGAGCACCTCTTCTGCAGGTCTAGCAGGGCAGGTGCTCAGGGTTGTAGGGGGGTCTGGCTCTACTGAGGACAGACACACACAGGGAGTTCTGAGACTTATTACCAAGTGCTTAGGAAGCATGCCTAAGATTTCAATCTGGTATTTCAGACAATACTGTGTTCTATAAGAAATAAACTTAAAAAACAATGTTCCGAATACTAAGCTGTGCCACTGTCCACATCTCACAGTTTCTACTCAACAATAAAGGACTTTAAACATTTCAGTGGGGACTCTTGACTCCCTCTCAAATTGCAAATATTGCAGAGCTGTGCCAAATTTTAATGTTTTTAAAGTTTCTTTCCCATTGAGTTTAGGCTGTTTTTGGCATTTGTGGTTGGTAACACAGAGAAATCAGTGGTGATCATGTCTTCCTTGAAACCCCAAGAACTTTCACAGCCCAGGCCCGACCCTAGCTTTTGTCAGGGGCCCCTGAGGTGAAGGCAATTCTTGGACAGAGACCAGCAGAGGTGGTGCTGCCTGTTACCAGGCTCTGTCACTGCTGTCACCATGAGGCAGAGTCTTCTAAAGGTAATTTTAGCAAATTTCAAGGGCAGAGGAACTTGTTATAGCTAGAGAACAACTAAGCTTGTTTCCATAAAGTTGATACTATTATTCTGTACTTAAGCAAATACATTCTAGACCAATTAATTAGCTACATTTTTAATGAAAAGGAAATCAAACACAGTAAACCTGGTTATGCAATGTCACGACTGAAGACTGAGGAGCCCGTGTTGGGAGAAAGGGTGCACAGGGCCCGGTGAGGGCCACCCATAGGCCTTCTGTGGGGCACATGTGTGTGGAAGCACCCCGAGACTTGCTCCGCAGCTGCCTTGAATGTGGAGACAGGGTACCTGGGCTGGCACTGTCCAGGGACGGCACTGGGGAGCCATCAGGACCACTGCACCACACTGGGGTACACACAGACACACACACACCCTGGACCCTGGTCACGTGCAGGCTCGGGGGTCACGTGCAACCTGTCACCCCCAACTGTCTCTATGGCAGTGGTTCTCAACCTGTGGGTCATGACCCACAGAACTGTATTAAAGGGTCGTGGCATTAGGAAGGTTGAGAACCACTGCTCTAAGGCAAAAGTTAGGTCTCTAGGTGGGATATCCAACCCTAATAAAGCCAATTTACTACATTTTGTGATAGAAGGTTCATCTGCAAGAAGGTTCATCTGATAGAAGGTAAATAACTATTATTATTCCTATTTTTTGAAAATTCCTGTTTAATCACCTGGCATGTGGATGTGATGTGTGCAGCCACATCTGGAGGCTGCGAGGGAGGGCTGGAGAAGAGCCCAGCCTGGCCCTAAGCCCCACCCTGCATACCCCAACCTATATATCCCCTCAAGTTCCCTTCTCTGGGGAATGGATAGTGACCTTCACAGGGCCAAGGGTCACAGGAGACACCAAAGGTGATGATCACAGACCACTGTGATTATGGAGGCGAGGCTGTGACCCCATCACACCTTCCCTGCTGCCCAGTGTTAACCATAGCTCAGCCTGGTCAGCCTGGTCCAAGCTGCGCAGGTCCCACATGAGCCCTCCTTATCCCATGTTAGGACAATCCCCTTCCACTGAAGATCAGTCCACATATTTCCTCTTTTGGGAGCTTCCTTTCTGTGGCCTACTTTACAGTGAGGACACAGTGTGTGACACACAGAACATTCAGAACATGTGTTTGTCAGTCACTTGTGATGTCACTGTGGAGACTCTGGTCAGCAGGGAGCTGTCACCAGTGGAGTCGGGGAGTCAAAGGTCACAAGCAGCTGTGCAGGGCCAAGTGTCCTTGCTTCCTTTATGACACTAAGTCTGGAGCCTGATTTAAGTCTGTGTCAGAGGGAGGGAAGCCACTCATCTCAACACCTCCATCTACCCAGAACATTTTTATTTTAAGTCTGTTTACAGACTAATAATCCTTGAATTTCAAGTTTTCAAAAATTAGCCCTTTCTGTTATACAATCAGAGCAATTTTTTTTTCTTTGCAAACATTTGGAGGACACAAGTTTATAGCCAAGAATCCAACTCTAGAGAGCTTGCTTGAAACTGAGTAATTTCCTACAAACTCAGGCTCTGAGAATGTGTTGCCCTGTTTTTTTTTTCTTAAGTAAAAAGCTTTCAGACTAGAATAGTATTTTCAATAACAATGTTGGTGAAGGGTCAAAAGATATACCTATGGAAAGCAAATGCAATGTTGAGAAAATAAATGTACATAAAATTTTTATTAAAGTTATCTTTGTGAAAAACAATCTAACATTATTTGTCTGTTGCAAGATATTTATTGATTTGACCTCATAAAGCTAAATAAATTAAACAAGTATTTTATAATTAATTGCATGTCATTATGACCAAAAGTAATTTTTATGGCATTTTACTGGGTCTTCAGGGAGTTTAATTTATTCATGCCCATGATTAGATCAAAGTGCCCTGAAGTTAGCATTGATTCATATTGCCAACAGCATTGTGAGCAGTGGGGTGTGGCTGCTGTACTGACAGATCATTGCTGAGGTCTCAGGGTGAATGGGAGATGTCTGAACACCGACCGTAATGCCCACACCATGAAAAGGTCATGCTTACAACTGCAATGCTTTAGGGTTACTCTGAAATCAACTATTAATAGACACATAAACTCAATATAAGTAATATAGCCTAAGAAGGCTAACTATTAATACAAATCATTTTTGTTTAGGAAGAATTTAGTGAAATATAGAATTGCTCATATTTATATCTTATTTCTATTGTAAGTGAACCTTATGTTCAAATTAGCATCAAATTCTAATTAAAAGGTTGCAAATATTTAGGTCACAAAAGAAATATATTAAAATATAACTTTGGTTATATATACAATGTCATTTGAGAATTTTCTAGTGAACGATCAACAATGCTTTTTATTTTTCACTATTATCAATAAGGACCAACTCATAGCTATCTACATGCACTCACACAGAAAACAAAAATAGTTATTTATGTGGAAAGAAAAGCTTTCATAATTAAAAAGGAGTCCTATTCTCTCTGCTTGATGAAAGTGAAAAGAACGGTAAACATTTAAAATAACTTAGTGGAAGAAAATGATGTTGTTCTCAGCAACCTGTCAGTGTCCAGTTTGGAATTATGATGGTTCAACTGATTCCAATGACACCAGTGTCTACAAGTTGGGGAAGGATCTATTTTTCAGTCACCTGCTCACTAAATTTCATAAAAACATTTGTACAAATGTTGAGAATAACTCACCTCCTCTTCCAGCCAATCATTATACTGCACAATGGTGGACATTGCCACGTCCGCACCTTTCATGTAAAATGTGATTTCTGCTGTGGACTCATCCTGCAATAGAACAAAAATGAACACAGGTGCATCCAGGCCGCACTGCCCGCTGTGCAGGTGAGGCATCCTCAGGGAGTACACACCTGCGTCGGCGGCCACCTGCCCTTCCCTCTAGAGGCTGTGCCTGCCCTTCAATGCTCGTGCAGCCAAGAACTGAGAAAACAGCTGCACATCTTGAGACACTATGCTGAAGTGTTTGAAATAACATTTCTCATTTCATGGGTACATGACTCGGGCTGACAAATTCTCACAAATTTTCTTTTTTTTAAATTTTTTTTTTTATTAAATGATAGCTATATACATTAATGCAAACATCTCATAAATTTTCAAAGTTTGATCGAATGCTTCAGAGTTTAGTAAACTTCCAAAATATGTTTTTTGTATGTGTTAAAAAAAAAACTAATAGAGGAATATTTCAGGAATATTAATGGTCATAAGTCACCATTAAGGTGAACTCTCTGGCCTGTTTTCACTGAAAATAAAACAAAATAGGTTAAATTGATTCCAAAAATTAACAAGTCACACTTTTGACTGATACTGCCTCAGGTCTTATAGGAAAGCTGTTTCTTCTCACTAGAACCATACCAGCTTCCCAGCCAACAAATTTTTAGTTTAGATTTTTAAAAAACTGTAACAAGCACAGGCATTTGAATAAACATTTAACTTTAACTTTTCTTTTGGGAAATTGTTTTATCTGTCTTAAAATAGCCAAGAGGAAATGTCAAGTGTGGGTACCAACCCCCCTCACCACACTGTACCCTGAGGATGACACCCATGCGCTTGCTCTCGGAGGTGAAGGGGAACATCTGGAGGATGCGAAAGGTGAGGATCTGGCCGCCAGGGGTCTTTAGCTGCATGGTGGTGAGGTCTCTGCTGACCAGGGTGAGGCCCACGCTCTCTGTCCACTGTACCAGGGCGACCTAAGGGAGACCAGTGACACATGAGGCCACCAGTTGGCTTGGGAAAGCAGGCCGGCAGCCAAAGAGGTGCTGAGACACAACAAACTCAGGAAAACTTATTACACTGAGGACTTTCTGTCTGGGGGCACATCAACTATGCACTTCCATGCACAGTTGAACAATGTTTCCATAGGTGAACAACAGACACTCTTTGGTCTCATATTTTTAAAACAATGGCCATTATGGATTATAAAGACGTTTTTTAAGTATGTGTTCACTGGAGACAGCAGTTCTAGACCCTGAGTGCAGCACCGACAGCTACCGCGGAGCTAGTGATGGGGCCAGCAAGGCTCTCCCTGATCTACTGACCCCACAGGAAAGCCAGTAACGCAGAATGTCACCTTTACCCTGGTCTTGCTTCCAACGCTACAGTCACTGCATCTCCATGTGACATCTGCGACATCACAGGAGAAGCTGGACAAAGAGAGGGCAGCTCTGAGGCCAGGTCTTCACTCTGCTCTTCCTCAAAGTGAAAAGATACTTGCTAATTGCTCTAAGGCTGAAATGATGTGAATATTCTCCCTGGTACCTCAAAGGTACTCAAAAAATAAGAGCTATTCTTACTATAATAATTAATTTATTAAAATTTAAAAATTTTAAGAGGAAAATTTCTAAAGTTAATTTATAAATTATATTTTATGATAATAGGTATTTTCTAAAATAAATTGTATCTTTAAAAGCAACCTCATAACTAACATAACTAATTAGTTAAAACATGATACACCAACCCTGTTAGGTAGTTAAAGACATACGACCCAGCAAGAATGCATATCTCCGACACACTGCCACTTCCACTGCCACAGAGGGTCGGGGCGGCCCCAGGCAGGCAGCCGGTTCCTCCTGAGGCCCCCTGGGATGGCCCCTCATGCTGCTCTGTGGCACCTGCCGGTTCCTCCTGAGGCCCCGGGATGGCCCCTCATGCTGCTCTGTGGCACCTGCCGGTTCCTCCTGAGGCCCCGGGATGGCCCCTCATGCTGCTCTGTAGCACCTGCCGGTCCCGACACCAGTATCTCCAGGCCAGTGAGCTCATCTCCTGCTTCCAATTTTAACCACTATGTAAACTCTTAGAATTTTATCTTGGGTTCCGATAACTTGAATCACTTCAAGGACATTTTAAATTCTGCCTAGTGTCCAGGATTTTTTTGTTTGTTTGTTTGTTTTTACACAGGGTCTTACTCTATTGCCCAGGCTGCCGCAGCACACTGTTAACTCCAAACTCCTGGGCTCAAGCAATCCTCCTGCCTTGGCCTCAATGAGTACCTGGGACTATAGGTGTGCACCAACATGCCTGGCCAATTGTTTTATTCTTCTATGGAATGCAGGGCATCATGGAACAGGGTATGGGGCCTGAGCCCCTGTGCCTGCCAGTCCTCTGAGAGCTGCCCTGGGACCCCTAAAATGGACACCTGCCTGCAGGTGTGTTCCAGAGAAATCCAGAATGGACCCGCTAGGCCTCCTCTCTGTTGGGTGGCATGAGTTCACTCTCCAACATTGCTTAGGGTCTTGTAAAGGAATTAAAGACAAGCAGGACTGTAGTTTCAGCACAGTAAAGACACATACATACTTACACAGTTTTAAATCACACAATGTTAAATCACATGAATTAGGAAAACATATGCATTAGGAAAAAAATTTAACTCATAAACTTCTGGTAATTTTAAAAGTTAGCTTATGACAAGTGAAACTGAGTAATCCTAGAAAAGCAGGATTGCATGAAATTATAATGAGCTCTATTTGTGGTTCTTCCAGTTGCAAAATCAGAAACACACTCTCACTGAAAAGGCAAAAAGGATGGGAAAATCGAACCTTGTCCACCCAAGTCGTTTACCTGTACCCCAGAAAGTACTTGACTGTGCCATGTGCTATTTCCAAGGAGAACACACACCATCCTGCTTCTATGCAGGAGAGAGAAGCTGCCCATTGCCCATGACCTGGCCTTCAAGACACGGCAGGAAGCAGAGCCCATCGGTCCTCAGGCTGCTCCGGCTGGCTTTCTCCACAGTGCCAATGCTGGACACACTTCAGAGCTGTGCTTTCTCAAGTGCGAGTGACCGCATGCCTACAGAGCTGGGACTTCTCCTCAGCCCAGATTTATCTTTTCAAGAAACAAATTTCATTGTAATTAATAGAATCATGCAGTTAGCTATTTATAAATTCAGAGGCAGCAAATTGTTATATATTAGACTTCCCTGCAGAGATGTAACTGTACAGAAGTGTCCCTACTCTGTGTTAAGCCACACGAGGCTGTTAAATAGTGAACTTTCACATCTGGAAGGAAAGTGACATCTAGCCCTGCTAACTTCCCTGCTGTGAGGGCCCCTCACAGGCACCACCTGGTGGCGAGGTGGGTCTGCACAGCACCTGCAGAACTCCAGGAACAGCGGCTGAGGCGCCCGGCTGCCACATGCCAGCAACACGCCTGGCTTTGGCACTTCTCTGCTTGACACCTGCACCTATGGGTGGACTGACAGGTTAGAAGATGTCCTTGTAAAACACTTATGCTTTAGGTTGAAATTTTTGCATGTAATCCATGTATGTTACTAGAAAAATCACAGGAACAAGAATTTGAAGAGAAAAAAAGCTTATTATGTACCGTTGTACAGCGGTGTTCCAAACTGGAATATTAGGAAAAACCTGCTGTATTCCACACATGTATAAAATCATGTTTCCCTGCCATTCAGTGTGACAGTCACAGAACCCGTACATGTAAGGCAACATCACATTTTTCACATTAAAGTGGTGTTCTTACAACATTCAGTGCCTACTTCCCCCGCCTGACCACCATGTGACTCATGCACCTTGATGTGAGTAGATGCAATGCTTCTAAGAAGGTCGTCCTCTTTGGCCAGGTTCAGGACCACACATCAACGAAACTCCAGAAAATCCACTGGCTTCTCATCCTATGTTTTATGCAGTGGCAAGTAGTTTGCAAGGCCAATTTGAAATAGAACGGAAGAGGACTTGGACACCATTTCTTCCCACGGATTGATGCCCTGGTACTTATCAATGCTGTCATCAGCTCTGTCTAAGCTTCCCATGAAATGTTTATACACCTTGATCACGTCTGGATGCTGAAGTTGGATGTTCTTTTTCAGTTTCTGGGAATAATGACTGACAAGACACTGAGATCAACACCAGCACCAGGTGAGGCAGCGGTGACATCACTGTCACCACCCCCTGCACACAGTGCTGCCTTTGCCATCAAGTCGATAATCCAACGTGCCACCTTCTTTTCTCGTCAGAGCTACATCTTATTCCAGTGAAACTCCGTCAGGGTGATCCTTTCTCACTGTGCCTGGTGCCTGATGTCCCACTGAACTGAGCTTATCCAGAAGAGCAACGCTGGTGAAAAGTGACCTAATACCAAGTGGTGCTGTCCACAGTGTGCTCTGTAAACTGAGGGATAAGTAATGCACCAACAACTCACCCCTCATGTTTAGTACTTGGGTTTCTACCCTGATACAGCTGAAACCAGCTAATGTGGCCCAGACGAGCCACACCACACCCAAACTAATGGCCAAACCTATTGGGCTTTCCTCTAATATAAAGTGTTTGCACCCATGACGACTACAATAAGGAACCCTGAATTCATCAAAGCTGAAATGGGTTTCACTTGGAATAAATTTTATACATCTCTGATTAAGTATGCTTATAAGAGGTCGCAACTTGGAAAACCTGTCCTTTGGGCCCAAATTTGCATTGTCAGCAACATGCAAATTAGCAAGTACAGTGGTCGTGTCTCATGGCAGCACCAACAAGCCCATTCTGCACATCTGCTCTTTGTTCCCAGAACATGTGCCTTCCAAGAGCGTCGAGGAATGAGATGTGACCACCCAGAAAACATCTGAACTTGGAGCTGGTCAAACTCAGATTTACACCCCACTGCAGTGTATAAGTTGGAGCATATGATACGAGTTCAATAACCTCATCATCAAGAAAAAGTTCCAGAGTTTCTGTGGAAGTTCTCATTTTGGTGAAGAAATTTTTGGTGGTTCTGCGACTACCTTCTGCGGGCTGTGCAGTTAGCTCAGCTTCTTCCATTTGTGAACAAATTTGTCACTTTCTTTTTCTCTGAGGGAGGGGGCTGCACAGGAGACATAGATGGAACTTCATCTCCAAGAGAGTCATGTTCAGTGCACACGAGAGGTCACTGAGTCAGGCTCAACATCACACCACCTTGAATAAGACACACAACAAAGAACGCAGCAAAGAACCTGGAGGATTCTTAGTGCTCCATCTTCCTCCTCTCCCAAGTCCTCACCAGAAATAGGTGGTGGAGCCTTTTCAGGCAGCTGTATCACACACTTGCTCCTATGCTGCGATTTGCCTCTAACAGCTCAGTATCTCATGTCAACTTAGAATTCAAGGCCTTGTGAGACTTGTGAGGTGATTTCAGCTAAAAAATGGGAGAAAGATTTTTCAGTCCTAGTGGCTAGGGTATTGCCTAGTGCTCCAAAATTGGAACATACACCATGTCATAGCTGAACTACTCCAACAGTAACAACTTCAGTGTTTCCTCTTTATAGCACAATAGCATAACTACTAGAGAAGTAATAAAAAAAAATTACTAGTGTAAGATATAGTGCAGTAAAATTGTATGTGCCTGTTTTTGGATGGTTCTTCAAAACTGGGCTGAAAATTTACATCACTTTTGAGTAAGGTCCCAGCATGCCATTATCTACAACAGACTAACTCTGTGCACTGTGTGATGACAGGGACTCTCAGGAGGCAGATGTGTGAGAAGGTTTGACCTCAGCATTGACCTTGAACAGAGGATACAAATGACTCCCAGGCACTACTGGTCCAATAATGGAACGTTAGGCATAAGTCGCTAAATGGTTGAGCTCAAATTTGGAAATGTGTTGAACAGGCTGGAATACTAAGTTTAAAGGGATAAGATAAAACATTAGAACAAAAATAAATCAAAGGCCCTGAGGTTCTTACTGTGTCTCAGGCTGGCC